TTGACAGACATTAATTTCAATAAAGGTTTCGCTGTAACAATATACTGATAAATATTATATCCATAATGTTTTTACGTTTGACTTTACTGAATTATTGAATTAAACTGAATTTTATGGATTTTATCGCCTTTATTTAACGACAATTGCAGAATTCATCTTTGAAGGATTTAAACTGTTTTTTTTTTCAATAGTGAAACATTATTGATTGGAATGCCAATAACTAATGATTCATCCATAATGTGTCATATTCGCGTAAGCATGACCCATCATTATGTACGCATATATATTATGTAGTACATTATACTTAGTACCTACGTTCATTCTGATACGATTGATTGATATGTGATTTAATTGACAATAAACATCTGAAAATTACCAGCTTTCACGCCTTGCAACCCTGGTGGGGTGGACACCATCAACCAACTATATCCACGAGACACCGCGCTTTTTAAGTCATCTGCGAAACAACATTGTCACTACAATTGTCAATACAGTAATAAATAACGGTCTCGACGTTAAATCATAACAGCACGCGAATAAACAGAGTAAATAATAAGTACTATAAACAACAGAGTAATAAATAACAGAGGCGTCATTAATACACCAACGATAAGGTCGGCAAAGGCTTCTGCGTATCTCTCACGCTAAAAGCCGGCGATGGAACTATGGTCCGACGACGGAAGAGAGGACAGCACTATCGCTTGTCACGTCCAAAAGACCAAGTGACGGCCGATAAAGCTAAGCTACCGGGCGTTTGATACTAAAAGCTGCTCTGAACGGTAGCGTTTGTTTATATATCCATTCGTCCGTTCACTCGTTCGTTTATCATTCAGATATGCATTCAATCAATCACTCATTCGTTGGGTATGAATATTATTTGTGTTACAAACTGTAAGAGCAAGTGATTGTGGTAGTCGCTGATGTCGTTTAATTATTAGTAATTTTTTTGTGTGCTCTGCGAATTAGGTACATGGTGGTTTTGTTCCGAATTCAATATTTTAATTCATTACAGAGGTCCAAATCAAGTATAAAGCAAGGCTTGCAATGAAGCTCTTTTTTCCACAAATTTTATAAACAATGTAGATAAAATACATTGCGATTTTATTCGGTGTCGCTATTAACCGTTTAGCTTATTAGTTAAAGCGTCTGTGCGCGAATCCGGAAGACGTGGGTTCGATTCCCACAGCAGGTAACAACTTTTCGTCCATTTTTTACGAATTTTTATGTTTTATCTTATATAATAAAAATTACAATTACAAAATAATGTTTGCTCAAGAAAAATAAAACAGAAACGTTAAACCAATTCCGGGTCGAAACATCGTCAGCCTTCATCTCATCCATTCGTGAAATGGGTAGGGTCAAAGTTAATGGCCGCTAGCCATTTCACTGTGACCTTTCGAAACACTTTGATGAAAATCGAGAATTGATCTTTTTGATACTCACCGAATGACCTCGCGGTGAGAGGAAATTGGATACGCTGCGTGTCCCATTGCTTCCTCGTGAGTCATCTTAATTTAAATCGAGCTGTCGGGCCCACCCCGTTAGGTATATGGCCTGATGGTCTTTTTTAATTTTCGACGAAATAAATCGCGATAATATCAACGCATGATCCGGTACGAACCTTCATTTGTATTACACGCGCAAATACATTTAAATCTTAGTGTCAGAGGAAAAATGGAATCACTTAACACCAGGTGAACTGCCTGCTCGCTTGCTATCTATTCACATAAAAGAGACTACCCACTTTTTTTTTTTTAACGTGAGACTGATAACTGATAACCGCCGCCTATTGACATGTGCAACACAAGTACGGTTGCAGATGCGTTGCCTTTTAATAAAGGCCCCGGCTACTTCATTCACCAGACGAAACGCAGAAGTGTAATACTTTACGCCGGGAAGTACCATGACCTCATAGAGACCGGCGTAAAGTATTACCCGAACGGACTTGCCCATTCGTGCAACCTACCACACGCGCGGTCCTGCCACACAAGATTGACAACGCTTTGCAACATTTCCTTTATGGATGTCGATGTAGAAGTAGTTACTTACGATAAGCTGTGTTCGACTTACATCTTATCTTAAAGGAATTGGGGGTACGCGGCGCGCTATACGAGGTTTTTGCCCAACTGTGGGCCTTTTATAGGCTGTTGCTTCACACACAGCCAACAATGAAACGATAGACCGTTTAGAAACTATTTACGTGACTACCCATCAATCTTGGCCCGTCCAAGACGGCCTTTCATCCGCTATGATTAATGAAAGGTTCGTTCTAATTACGCCTCAATTATTATTCATTGGCTCTTCACCTGGTCGGGTAACGGGTTCGTGTCTTCCTTTGAAGGTATTCCCGCTGCGTTGCTTGTTTCGGTTTTGTGTGACGGCGTTGCTGTGGTGGTTTATGATACGGGGTGGGGGTTCAATATTAGTGGTGTAAGCTGGTGAGTTCTCGGTTTACCCCATCCTTTGAGTGCAGTGCGTTCTGTTTATGCGCAGTCCGAGATACCGAGAAGTTGTACTGACGTAGCTGACTGTAGCTGTACCAATAAAAATCTTTAATTTTTCTCATTGTTGATACATATTTTAGATTGCAAACGTTCCAATGAAAATGAAATTTAGACACCGGGCTTGATCAGACAAGCTGTCCATTTCCATAGAGAACAGCCAATATTGTTTTTTCTTATTGTTTTAACTTATTGTTACAAGCAGCCATCATGTTAGTATAAAGCAGTTCTAAGTTTTACATGACTTTTAAAGAGGCGAAAATTGCAAGATTATTCCCAGATCCGGAATTTTTAGGTCATCCAATTTGTTTCGGTGGTAATCGATTCCACGTCGAAAGCATCGTATGCCGCATAAATAATTTATAGACACCGAAATTTACTACTTACGAGCCTAATTTCAGAATTTCTGGAACAAATCAAGTAAAATATCGGCTACAACATTGATTAAACACGGAATACGAAAGAAACATACATCGAAGTCACATCGCATCGAGTAAAAACAGAAATACGACGGCGGTCCTAATGGAGACGATGGCGCGTTGCGTCCGAAAACGTAACGGTTTTACGACTTTTAACGTCTAATTTTACATCTGTCGTGCGAGTTTACGGCCTATCAAGTGCGCACATGTCTCGTAAATGCCCAACGAGTGGAGCTCTTATGGCGACGTTCATCGCACTTACGTGTACGCTTCAGGTGTTATGCAGCCCTGGTACTTTTAACTGTAGAATGATTGTATTTTTCTTTTATCTCTCAAAAGCAGGTTCTTCAAATGAATCGGATGTCTAAAGGATACTTGAAAGCTATTAAATTCAGAGATAACCTATATTTATTTATATAATAAAAATACATAAATGTAAAATATACTGCTAAAATTAAAGTACTATAGGCTACCTAGCAAGCATAAATTATTAAATGAAACAAAAAACCTGAATGCAATACTGTTTATTTCTTTATTTAGCGAACATTTACTATACCATAAAAGGTCGCACACAACTCAGATGAATCTAATGACACGTCATATTATGTTAAAATCCTTCAAAAGGTTAAGGCTGTAGAATATATAAAAGAATTACTTAGAATACGAATGTATGTTGTAAAATGTAAAAGATTACCCTCGAGATTCAGCAGTCGGGTGAAGAGAATAACCGGTGATTATTCGTAATTAAATGAAAATATAGGCCTAACCAGTTTTTATTACAAAGAATTCAACAATCAGAAATGTCGCGAACGCAGTAGAATCGCAACTCTGATCTATCTACCAAAGGGCACCAGAACCTTTTTAACTAATATATGTTTATTTGACACTTGAGTGTTCTTATTTTAAATTTAATTATTTTTTAACGTCAGAAAAAGTAAAAGGGAGACGCAAAGCTAAAATATACATAAAAGTAAAACCGAACGCGACCAGTGCCACCCATTATATATCTGATTCCGCGGCCATTACAGAAAATTTATTAACGCCATCTCTTTTTCTTCACTAAAAACAGTGTTAATTGCGTTTGATATGATTACTACGGCATTGCCATGGGAAAGAAAACTCTATTTATTCAAGTTTCTGAGAGAACGCGTTCGATAATCGCGTACAGGACAGGGTTCGCAAGTGTATCGTAAAAGTTGCTGGTAATTGTATTTAATTTTTTACGGCTGTTACACTTACTAAAGTTCGACGGTGAACATGAATGTTATTTTCTTTCCTTCCTTTTTGGGATTTAAAATCAATCCAGTCTTTTTATACGTTATAAATTCTTATGCGTTAGAATAAAATACTATTCAACGGTACGCACCATTGCATCATCAACACAGCCCTTTTACGGTGGTAGAGCCTCGCAGCAGCCTCGGCTGTTGCACGAATGGGCAGGCTCGTCCGGGTAAGTACCACGACCTCACAGAAGATCGGCGTAAAGTGGAAGTATGACAAATACTTTCGCGTTTCGTCTGGTGAGTGAGGTAGCCGGAGCCCAATTTCCAAAAAGGTTGTCAACGCATTTGCAAACCCTCTGGTGTAGCAGATGTCTATGGGCTGCGGTATTCACTTAACATCAGGTGAACCGTCTGCTCGTTTGGCAACTTTTCACATAAAAAAAAAAAGCCCATGTGCAGTGTTATAGAATTACATGTAATTCATTTAGCACAACGTTCTCTACTCGAGTAGAACAACAGAAAGGAGACACTGACATAGTTTTGAAAACCTGAGTTTGAACTAAAAAAAGTCATGTGCACACGACGTAGAAACAAAAATACACCCATTATTTTCAACGTACAAAACGATTTGAACAATCAAACTCAACAATTTCGATCAATCATGGCTGAATGCTTACATCCCTTTGCCTTTTTTGAGCGGAGATATGCTCACAAAAAATGGAATAAAAGTTTCAAATTCACGACCGCCGACAACATTATTATTAATACGTCACGTGGGAAGAGCTGAGAGATAATAAGTGAGTTTTTCTAGCGCGAGCCGTTTTTGCTCTGAGGACAGGTAAAACGAGTGGACGTCTATGCTACCAGGGGCGCATTCTCGTCTAGCAAACGATACAAGAAACCGGCGTCAGATACGTCATGAGAAAGTCATCTGGGAACGAAGCGAGCGCGCGCGGAAGCGTTTTTGCGACGGCACCCGCCAGTTCCTGGCGCCCTGGTACTTGCTTTGTCTTATTAGGGAGGTGATTGAAATCCGGTTAGAAGCGAATCTCGTAAAAAAGCTGTACGAATCGAGAAGTGAAGTTAATTTCTACACGTAAGTCTGCTGTTATATACGAGTAGTTAGAAACAGCGAAAGTTTGTTGGTATATTTGTTATAATAGTATTGTCCACTACACTAACGTTCGCTACACTAATGTAATTTTTGATACTTCTTATCCCGTTCGTAGCTTTTTCCTTAGAAACTTCACTTTCTGAGTATGCTCAGGACTCCTGTAATCAAAACAACTCCCTACTCCTGATGTGTCCGCGATGCGTGAGGTAAATAGAACTGCGTACATCGCTGGTCTGATTGTAATATTGCAGACATAGATGACTGCAAAAATGACGTCATTGGCCTTGCATTCATAAATCGTCTGTGTTAGCGATGTCATGAGGCTGGACTATAAACTAGGGCTTTCTTACTGAGCCTATTAGTTGGGTCAACCATCGATTAGACACAGTAAACAAGAATATCAAAAGATTACGATTTAGGATGTCGTACGCGTAGAGTTTTAAGGCCCATTTACACGATGCCATTTTCTTGTACATGCAAGAGCAATAATTGAATGCAATAAATTGCGCGCAATAATTGGTTAGACCATTTGTTGTTTAGACCATGCAACACATTTATTGCTTCAATTTAATTGTATACAACAGGCAAGAAACTGGCACCATGTAAATGGGCCTTTACTCTCGCACTTCTCTTCGCTGTCTTTTTTCAAGTTTATAATTATAAATATAATATAATATAATATATAATTATATCAACATTATAATCGCAAACGCGAAAACAGTTTGTGTATTTGTGCACTTGTTCCCCGCTCGAGTCGCAAAGGTTAAAAAATTTGAATGAAATTTACATTGAAGTCACCTCTTTAGGAGCATTGATATAAAGTATAACAAGGAGAATTGGATGACACGTCTACAATTATTTGTGCGTATGCTTTGAATATAAAATAATATAGAAGTTAACTTTTGTCCCGTTAAAGTAAACTATATTTTAGAAGAGAAACGCGCGGGAAAAGTCGTTAATGATAAACGTCAACGAGATATGTACGTTTAAAACAAACGAAGGAGGCCCTATTAGGGGCTTCTTTAACGGACCTCGTCTCGTATTTAAGCAACCATTCAGCATAATTAACGCATACTTGAGGCTGAATTATGAAACATATTTCGGGGCAGCCATCTTCGCTGACACGCGAACGCGTGTAAATATGCTTAAACGGTGAGTTCGTTTGTTTAGAGCCGTGTCGACCCCGTTTCGTGTACCGCCGGCCGATTTATTGGGACACCTGACACAATTAAGCAATTCGGCGGAGTGACCTGCCGCGAATGACACTTGTTCTGCGTTTACGGACTAAGATGGCGGTGCGTATTTTAAGTGGGATCAAGTTACGTTGGGCCTCCGTTTGAATCGCGCGCCGTGGAAATGCTTAGTTTGAAATTAACGCGACGATATGGTGTAATTTGACGAAGTAACACGCGTATTATGATGATAATTGCGTTTGCTTTATGTATTACAACGCGTGTCTTTCGTAAAAGTTCTACTATCATATACTTCTCTGTTATTGTTTGCATCATATTGTCCTAGACTTAAGAAGAAATTACTATGAATATTTTCTGTTCCCACTATATTGAAATTTCTATGTGGTGCACTATACATATTTTAGATAACGTTTTATTTTTATAAAGTCATGTTTTATCACATCTATGTCTAATCATTTGTGCAAAGAACATTATTGCTTAACCTTTAACTATGGACGTTCCATTTTCGTTACACTACTATGGACGTGCGGCCTCACAGACCGCTATCTTTACGGGCTGGTTTCTATCTTTATGAGTAAGTATTGAATCAATTTTTGTTTTTTACCCTTAGAAGAGTTACTAAATGTAAATAAAAGATGTAATTTCAATGAAAATGTATTTATTTTAAACTGAATCTAACGATATATCAATCAAAGCCACTTTTCAGACTTTTAGCTTGAGATCACTTTATAGGTATATTACCATAGGAAAATGACTTTTTTAGTTAGTTTAACTTCTTTTACAATAAAATATAAAGAACAAAGAACATAAAAAACTTAATATAATCTTCTCAAAAGTAAACATAAAAATTTCGACAAGGGCCCAACTTGGTCATATTTATTGACAGTCGGCTTAGAGCATTGTAGGCACATTGGCTGTTTACAGCCTACATAAGTGTGCGTCGTCTTTCGTTTTATCTTATTTTGGTTATAGTTTACACGTGTTACGTTTAGGAACTATATTTTCTTCACTTGGTGGCTCTTCACGGGATGGCATATCAGGGCCCAAACTCGTTTCAGCGTCATAACTAATTAATTTGGCAATTTACTGGCTCTCTGAGCCGACGAACTCGATGTTCGTTTGCCTGCAGTCGTTGGTTGATCGTTTTTTGACATTTTAGTTTACAAAATTTGAAACGAACAAAATCACCGTCAGCGTCAATTTATAACACAAACGTGGACGCGCGGTCTCACAGACCGCACCCAAAATGTAAAGCGAAATTACTCATGCAACATTCAGTCGGCGACGTAACCTTCACTCTTAACGGTCTTTTCGCCACTAAAACCGAAGCTACTGAGGTTGGCATACTCATGGGGTACGCAGGAGGATGGGGGAACGAGAATCACAAACTGCAAGCGGCCTGTGAGACCGCACGTCCATAGTTAAAGGTCAAAATCTTTTTACTCCAAATTGTGTTATGAAGTAACTCTTATCGTTATCCCGTTCAACATTATTTTAAGTTCTCATCGCACCGAGACCGTTTGACGTCCATCGACTTGAAGAAACGACGCGTCGCTTCTACCGTAGCTTACGCTGAAAGAGCTAATATTCCCGATCGAAACATCACTATGTTAATGCTGCGCTTTAATACATTCATAAAATTCCCAATCGACTTTACAGTGGGCTAAGATAAAGTGGAGAAGAGAGAAGAGATTAAGAACAAGGGCGAATTCCACAAAGAAAAAAAAAAACAACATCACTCCAGTCTCTATTTCCGCATCCGTCGAACGGCGCGCGGCAAAAAGCGCGTGAAAAAAAAATAAGCGCGCAAAAAACCGGCCCCTGGCGCCTCCGGTAGCGATGGAGGACGTAAATAAATGTATGTTTATTGAACCTGCTCGGCAAGTGGAACACTAATAACTCGTCCGCGAGGACGCTGTGACGAGAGGCGTGACCTTTAAATGTGAGTAAAAAACACCGGTCAAGTGCGAATCGGAGTCGCGCACGAAAGGTTCCGTACCATCTATAAAACCGGCAAAAAATCATGTTTGTTGTATGTATTGTTTGTTTTATTCTGTTTTGTTTTTTTAGTACTTTTTGTTATAGCGGCAACAGAAATACATCATCTGTGAAAATTTCACTGTCTGACTATCACGGCCTACGAGATACAGCCTGGTGACAGACGTACAGACAGACAGCGGAGTCTTAGTAAAAGGGCCCCATTTTACCACTTGGGTACGGAATCCCAATTACTACTTATGCGCCCAACACTACACTGTCGACGTCTTCTTTCTCAGGCGACGTCTTCCTCTACCAGGTCTTAGTGCTTTCAGTTGAGGGCTGGGTTTTGCATCGGCTAGTTGCCAAGAGCTAAAGTTTCTTGTATACTAAGTAGGACCAAATTTATTACAAGATAATATGATTGATGAAGACTAAGTTGAGAGACATTGCAACTTATTATCAGAGGTTGACAACACTTTTTATGTCAGCAAAAGTTTAAATTTCAATAAAATTGGACGTGATTTTGATTTACTATCTTTCATTTGTTTCATAGCAGGTAGAAAATGTATGTATGTTTAGACCATGATTAGGCTTCGGCGCCGGGGGTCGTGAGTTCGATTCCCACACGAAACAACTATTTGTGTTTGTTTGTCCGCTTGAAATTTATGTTTGTAAAACGTCCTTACAACACAGGATAATGTTATCCTAAAGTAAGGGCAATGTTTTAGTTATAAAAAAAAAGAATTAAAAAATTTTCAGAATTAATAAAATTTCACGAACACGTGCATAAAATTTTATAATACGTGTTATTGAACCCCGTTAACAGTTAAGAGTGTTTTTATTTAGTTATTAAACTATTTCCTACCTTAAGTGTAAATATTTCGCCAGTGTTTGAGTGTTATTTGTCTTGTTCAGGATTATATCAATTTCAACAGCCCGTATCTTTGAAATCGCCATTGCACTTTGTACTTCACGACAAAAACGCGTAAGTGACACATTCTGCACGGCGCTTAAGCCCTTTTGCTCGACAACATCCGATCAACAGATTGACTGCGTTGTGCTAGTAATATACCTGCAGTTTTTAAAATATTGCATAATATGTCACCGAACAAATGCGCTGGTTGTCCCAACAAAATAAATGAATCAGAATCAATGCGATGTATACGCTGCCTGGATAAGTATCATTTTGCTTGTTTAAATATAACCGAAAGCAATTTTTTAAAAGTTTTTCAAAAGCCTATAAAACTAAATGGGTTTGCCCTGCTTGCCAATGTAAGGAACCTAAGACCGGAGACAATTCCAACACTCCTGTTCGCACTACTAGTACAGCCCCCGGAGCGCCCTATTCGATTGAAAATATCACAGTCCGCAACAAATCACGTTCAGCAGGTGCTTGCGCTTGTATTTCTGCGGAGAGTATTCGCGAAATAATACGTGATGAACTACAGAAAGCATTAAATCAACAGCTCCAAGATATTAAACAACAAATAGCAACGTTTGAACAATCTTTGTCATTTGTGTGCAACGAGTATGATAAAATTAAGGCGGAATTAGAAAATACAAGCAGCAATGTTAATCATCTACAAAAAGAAAATGATTTGCTTCGCTCCAATTTTAATGAGGTTTCCCAGCGCCTAAAACAAATCGACCAGTATTCTCGTGCTAACAACCTAGAAATCAACTGCGTTCCAGAACATCGTAATGAGAACCTACCCAATCTTATACTACAATTAAGTAAAGTTATTAAATGTCCTATTAAAGATGACGACATATTTTACTGCTCAAGAATTGCTAAATTAAACCCAAATAACACCAGACCTCGTTCCATTTTGGTTCGTCTCAGCAGCCCTCGATTAAGAGACAGCTTTCTTTCAGCTTTCTTTCAGCAGCCGCTTTTAAATATAATAAGCAACATTCCAACAATAAACTTAACTCCAGTCATTTGGGAATCGCCGATGATAAGAAACCGCTGATATTCGTGATGGAAAATTTAACTCTGGAGAACAAATCAGTACATGCTGCAGCTCGACTGAAAGCCAAAGAACTTAATTTTAAATATGTTTGGGTGCGTAATGGCAAAATTTTCATGCGCAAAACCGACGACTCAAAATTTATTTTTGTACGTGACTCTTCTGTATTACAAAATCTGTCTGGTTAATATATATATATATATATATATATATTAATGTCATCTAAATATAGTTATAGTGTTGGTAAAAATATGTTATCCTGAAAACCTTACAAATTTACTATCAGAACGTTAGGGGTTTAAGATCTAAAACAAATGAATTTTTCGGTAATGTTGCTTGTAACCACTTTGATATTATAATTTTAACTGAAACATGGTTGAACAGCAGTGTCTTCGATTCGGAGCTTTTTGATGACCGTTACATAGTACATAGGCGAGACCGCGAATCAAGTGGCTTTCATCCTAAAAAGAACGGGTGGTGGGGTTCTAATAGCAGTAGACAAAAATTTAACATCGAGACGTCTTCACAATTACGAATCTAAGTGTGAGGATGTTTGGGTATGTGTCGATACATACAACGATATGGGCTGTAAGGAAGAATATCTCATTTGCTGTGTATACTTGCCACCACCGATCCAAAAACACATTTTAGACAATTTCTTAGACAACTGTAATCGCACTCTTGAAATTGCCACCAGTAAAAATGTTCTCATTACTGGTGACTTTAATTTAGGTAACATATCTCGGTCAGCAAACAGCGACAGCAAAACCTACAAATGCTATAACAACAGCCAGTTCAGTTCTAAGCTAATAGATTTTACTAATTTAAATTCTTTTAAACAATACAACAACACTCATAACGTCAATGGTAAATGTCTCGATTTAATTCTTAGTAATTGTAGTGTATGTGATCTTTGTATAAATTCAGATCCTTTGTCTATTGTCGCTGCCCCTACATCCTTTGTCTACCCCTATCATCCGCCTCTAGAAATGAATATAAAGATTTCTGCAACATGTAAGTTATCATTCAATAATACGAGTAAGTTTTGTTTTTTTAAAGCCGACTATAAAAAAATTATGGAAGAGTTGAATAGGTGTGACTGGCCAGATATCTTAGATGAATCCAAACCAATCGACATAATGATCTCTAATTTTTATACTTATCTCCAAAAAATTATCAGCATACACGTTCCTAAATCAGTATCTCCTAATAGCAACTATAAGTACCCAGTTTGGTTTTCTAGAAAGTTAGTCAATCTACTAAAAGAAAAATTGAAATTTAGGAGAAAGATCAAAAAATACAATAAAAATCCCCTTGACCTTTTATCTTTTAATTTACTTAAAAATAGGTGCAAGCAATTACAAATAAGGTGCTTTAAAGATTATCAAAATCGTTTAGAATCAATGTTACGTTCAAACCCGAAGCTATTTTGGTCTTTCTACAAAGGTAAAAAAGGCAATAAAAGTTCCTACCCGTTGAAAATGTCTTTAAAAGGCAATACGGCTACCAGCGGCTCTGAAATTTGTAATCTTTTTTGCTTCACAATTTTCGTCAGTGTACCAAAAAAATTCAAATGCTGCTCACAAAATACCCGAAACAAACCTCAATGGGTCTGTGTTCTTGTGCAATACTTGTTTTAAGCCAGAAGAAGTTTTAAATGTTATAAAGAGTATGAACTTATATAAAGGTGCAGGAACAGACGGTATTCCTTCAGTTTTTGTAGTTAAATGTGCCTCCTCCTTAGCCCTGCCTTTATCTATATTGTACAATAAATCCCTCTCGTCTGGCACCTTTCCTCAGATGTGGAAAAATGCCATAGTCATGCCATTATTTAAAGGAGGTGATAAAGAATTGGCAGAAAATTACAGTCCTATTTCTATTCTACCAGTATTTGCCAAAACTTTTGAAAAACTTTTACACCCAATGCTAAGCTGGCACCTAAAACAAATATTATCTCCCCCTCAACACGGTTTTACCAAAGCTAAATCTACGGCTACTAATCTTACATCGTTTGTCGATACTATATCAAATATTGTGGACTCGGGCTTATCAGCTGATGTTATTTATACTGATTTCAGTAAGGCTTTCGACAAAGTCGATCACGGAATTCTCATTGATAAACTGTCGAACATCGGGATATATGGCAGCCTTTTGAAGTGGTTTGAATCTTACCTCCTTAACCGAAATCAGTTGTCGTTTTAAATGGTTACGAGTCTGACTCTTTTTCAGCTGTTTCTGGAGTTCCTCAAGGTTCACATTTAGGCCCAATTCTATTCAACTTATTTATTAATGACATTGTTTTAATCACTCAAAATTCTATCTTTTTGCTGACGACTTGAAATTTTTCAGAACCATAAGTTGTACAAATGATGTTTCCTTACTTCAAAAAGATATTGATCGTTTAGAGGCTTGGTGTCGGATAAATATGATGACTCTTAATATAAATAAATGTTTTGTCATTCGTTTCA